AAGAAACTACCGGGAAAAACCCACCCTTTAAAATTTATCATTAACAACACAAAAAAGAAGTCTGAAATACATTTCACCATCCTATGTATTCAATCAGTTTATAGATATGATTTTCAACCAGTAGTTTATCCGTTTGGGTATGCATCCTGCATCACTTAAAGTCACAGTTTAAAGGAGTCAAGCCTCTGCAGATCTATCTCAAGTCAAAGTGAGATTCCGGTCCTAAAAACAAGCCTTTGATCAGCTCTCAAAAATACAGCATCCAAAATACTGGCCTAGCAACATCTGGGTTAATGTGCATAAAATGCTATTAAATATAATGGATCCTTAATTCCTAATATATCCTTGTTAAATTCTTTTATTCTGTTCCTTGGCTGACCTTTTCCCAAATCAGTATAGTGTGTTTTATCAGTGCTGCAGTGAGCTAGACATTGCTATGCATTTTTACCACGACATTTTAAACTACAAGCCCCAAACCTACCAGTGAAGTCCACATCAGTGGAACCTCGCACTCCCACAAAGCTTAAGGCAGGAGGAGGAAGAACAGTTGGTTATAGCACTGAGTAAATCAGCTGGTATTTTCAGAGGAGCCTAAGAAAATACAGTAACAAAATCCTAGTCATCTTACATGGCACCTGACTTCCTAAAGTCCCTTTGGACTTACATGATGATCACGTTTGCACCAACTAAAGCAAGAATTTCTGCAATTATTTGTGTTTAGGTGGTTCTTTGAGGCTGCTGTCAGGCCTGCCCTCTGAATAAACTAACAAATACATAAATAAAGCATATATATCTAAAACGAAGTAGATGTTTAAATCCTCTTAGAAAGTTTTAAGAGACTACTCGTGTGAGGTGCTTTACCTGAGGAGATTGTAACTTAGCTGGAAAAGACTTGCCAAAAATACATAACTAAGGATAGGAAAAAGAAAGCGAGATGCAGAACTGAGGCTGAGGAAGCTAACAGTACTAAGGCAAGTAATTAAAACACATGCAAGCTCACCAAAAAACAAAAATACACCATCTTCACCAAACAAGTTCGTTCAGCTTTTTGACTGTCTGAATCAACCTACAAATATTAATTACGACCTGATTTCACAAACATATTTAGTGCTGTATTTAGTAGAAATAACAAGTGTCATAGTGAACACAGCATCGCATTGCATTTTATTTTTCAGGAGAGCTGGTACAGAACCTTATGGCCAGCCAGAATCCATTACAGAACACAAGGCCCAGGCTTAGACTGCAGACTGTTAAGTTTGTTTTTTGCTTTAATAATCTTTGAACCGGACTGTAAATGTACAATTAAAGGTTTCTCTGTTGAAGCACCCAACTTTAACTTTGGTTTCTTTTCATTTTCTATACTTCACATCAAGCCACAAAGTTCTGTTCAACAGCCATGTATTCAAACATAGCCATAAGTGTGCTCTCGTAAAAGACTTATTTTTTATTTATAAATCTTGTGGATACAGGAATAATTTCTACAAAAAAAAAAATAGTCAACTGCACTAACATGACATGTCTCACACACTGTTAAAATTCAGCAGTTAAGAAGAAAAATGACTGCCTCCTCCAAGTGAGGACTGCCCCTCCTGCCCCCAGTCTCTCCAAAGACAGGTGTGCTATATTTTCATGCACTTAAAACCAAAAAAAAAAAGGGTGGCAGGAAACTTAAAACACAGTGAGAGTTGCTACTTTGAGAGCCACTGCAAAGCAACAGTTTTATAAAGTCTAGCCAGGTTTTCAGGGGAATACACAAGGTCTGTGATGCATTTTTGTGTTTGCCACATACCTTTTATTTTTGCTTTAACAAATAAGTGTACAGTAACTATCGACTGTCTTGAAGAGTACTGACTGTTTCTTCTTCCTTGACTCAACAAAAGATGCAAAAATTCAACTCTCAGTTCAAGGAATTAATTTTCATCCAGTATAGCTGTCTAGACTAATCATGCTCATTATGACTGTAGTGCAGTGTATAAATCTTATTAGGGACTTTAAAAAGAACATGATGAATTTTTAGCATTGACTTAAAATCTGTACTCAGTGTAATTACGAAGTCTTGAAACTAGTAGATTTTATTCATTTATTTATTTATAGGTATTTAAATGGGCTTATACTGTAGTTTTTGGGTGTCCAATCACATTGTGTTTATTGTGCAGAAATGATACACTCACTTGCCAATATAGTAAAAGGCTGGAATGCTTCACAATGATCCTAGCAGTAACTCGGAAAAAGGACCACTTCTTCAATGCAAATCCGCTCAAGAAAAGCTTCTACATACAAAGATGAACCAGTTACTGCATTGTTTATTAAGTTTCACTTGATTCCTCCTGACAACCATTTAAACAATGAATGTTGGGAAATGTCTCTCAAAGAATCAACAACAATGGCTGGGATCAGAGCTTTTATATGTAGCTAATACTGTTTTTAGAAAGGAGAAAATATTTCTTCCTGAAGGGATTATAGGAAGTCTTATAAAAGACACCTGCAAACAAAACAAGCGACAAAAGATCTCTATCATAATTGATAACACTTATCCTTTGTAAAAATCTGTGCTTCTTGAGAAACAAATATTATATCATTGCTATTGAACTTCAAAAGGCATCCACTAACCAACAAGCTTGCCGATGAAGAACAGTAAGTTTTAGAAAACCTGCCAAGAAGGAAGTGCTTTTGTCTTATGGATAGCAGCGTGTTGTTAATCAACAGCAAGCTCCTACATTTCCTTTTCTGATGCCAAATGGAACAGGCAAACTTTGAAACACAGTATCTTTTTAACAGTGTACTGGACATGTAATATCTACTTTATTTTTGTGAGAACTTAAAATTCAAACTTCAGAATTTGACAAATTATTCAATAACCAATTTAAAAGAAATGCACAAAGTAATCAATACGAAGGGAAATGTTTACAAAATGCGGTTTACAGTAGAAGCTTGAAAAAAGAAAACAATCACATCTAGAGCAACAGCCTTCATTCCTTCATACCAGACCAGTTAAGTTTTGGTAAGCATATACTGCCTAAAGTATCTACACACCGGTCAAAACAACTAGGTTTTCCCATTTGCTAGTAGATGGCTCAGTCCTCTGTATGGGCTGTACAGGCTAGCTCCTTCCTTAGCTCTGTTTTGGAGAAAACCAGCTGGGTACCTCAGAAAAAAGAGTTCTTCTCAAGACAGTTTGCTTCAGGGTCTGCTCCCAAAAAGGAAGTGCGTACAAGACCACACCAATTTTGGCTCCCTCTGTTTATGCAGACTTCTCTAACGTTCTCCCAGCAAATCTGGCATCCTCAGATAACCCCACAATGCCTCTAAACCACATGCCAGGGCATGCAAAACACCCACTCATTTTCTTGCTACAGAAACACCACGCAAGCGGGCTGCAACACAACTCTCACATTATGGTAAATGCAGGGAACTAAGGAAAAGGGTTAATTGATTTACCTCAAGAACACAGGATGCAGAGGATGCTCTGACCATGAGCAGTATGTAGTATGAACCCACACAGCGCAGTCTGCTGTGAAGGTGACAAACCTGCGCAAATACAAACCCCACTGCATTGCTTGCTCTATGGCCGAGCAGCACTATGCAGAAGAGATGGTTTTGACTTTGTGGATGTACATTCTTTGCTAAGAGAAGAGGATAAGGACTGCAGGACAGCCAAAAAGAAAGGCACGTATGTATTGTCCCAAGAGAGCTGAAAAAAACTAAGATGTTCTGTCTAATAAGACAGTTAAAGAGACTGAAGAAAATTTGGAGTCTGTATGAACAGTAGAAAACAATTAGTATATTATAGAAAGATGTTTATATTGCACTTTCAGGAAAGAATTTGTCATGGCCTTAAAAGCACATGAATTCAAAATTCACTGTAAGCAACTCCCCAACTCACAAAAAACCCCAAGTGCTTTGATAGGTAAAATACATCACCTACGTTTCTTCTCCAAAATGACATGTGCCACTGTAATGCTTTGAAAATCAAGCACACACATCAACTTTAACAACTTTACTACACTAGGAAAATTACTTTGTCTTAAGAAGTGTTTTTACTAACTCCTTGGAATATTTTTATTTCCTATTTTCAAGAGTTCAGCATTAACAATGATTAAACTGCTCAACCCGAAATGTCTTTGTTTCATTTTTCGAGAAGTCAAAAAAGGGTTAGATCCTGAGTAAGTTATCTCCCTAAGAGACGAAGCAAAGTTAGCAGCAGCACCTTAAGAAACATTTCTGACTTCAGCGTGACAGGTCTGATCCACTAAGTGGATCCAGATGATCCACTAAGTCATTTCTTTCTCTAGTCTCCACATCTGTGTATTCTGTGATTCACGTTATTTTGACACAGTATGATCAATGTTTTTGTAGCTTTATTCTTCTGCAGTTTTTTACAAGGAGGATTAATAGCAACCGCAACAGAAAAATTACCTTGATGTCACATATAATACTTTATCTTTTCATCATCATGAAAATCTGAGTGCTTTGTCCATCTTTCTTGTCTGCAGCAACTTATTTCACTTGTTCATATTAAGGCTATTATATTCACCCTATTACTACTAATCTTTTCTTTGTAAATAGCCACACCTATTTTAATCCAAAATGGTGTGGTAAGCATTTGATTCTTTGTGGAAGTAGACACGTAATTAGGTTAATCTGTGCTATCTTTTCATGTGAGTTGATTGTTTCTTTACTATGGACATATTTCTTGTAACAGCAATAAGCTTGCCAGACTGCTTGGAGGCAAATCAGGAGCAATTTACCAAGCATGTAGCTACTATGAACTGAAATCTTGACATAATAGCAAGCTGTGTATAGCCACTCCTACCTGCCAGTTATTACTCATGTTAGCTTTTTACTGACACATTAAATTTCAACCGCACCTTTCTTTCACAAACAAGTGCTTCCATTCAGCTCAGCTACATCTGTGACAAATAGCTGATCTTCGCCAAAGCATACAGGAATCTAAATTCAGAATGCAGTGCTGAAGTCTTTGACAGTAGCAACAGAATTACCTGCATGAAGTCCATAAACGTCAATGGAAGCAAGTCATCCAGGTGGCCAATATCTTTGGAAAAACGATTTAAGATTCTTCCTACAGAAACAGGGTTGGAGAAGAAAAATAAAGCAAATGTAATTCCTGAAAAGATCAAAATATCTTAAAATGTAATTCCTGAAAAGATCAAAATATCTTAAACGCACCATCTTCTACAGTTAAAAGGAAACAGCTGGAGTTTAAACATAAAAAGACACTTTTTGAAACAACCACGAATTGAATCTTTCACAACCACTGCAACACATTTTTGAAGAAGAATACTTTTTTACAAATGCCTTTCACCCAAATATAAAACCTTTACTTAAACTGTTAGGAAAAAATTAAAATGGGCTTTGAAGGTAATAGTTCAAGAGAATTTAACAGGTGAAACACACGTGCTTCATATGCTCAACACGTGCAGGTAAAGATTTACAGTTCCGTCAACTTGATGCAAGTTTCATCAAGTAACATCAGCCAGAATCTGCTCCTGTCCTCGACTGAAACTCACCAGTGCGTGCATGTCCCAGATAGATCATAGCTGATCTAACTGATCCTTTCCCGTATTTCTGTTCCCACCCCTCCACCATTATACACGGATTCAAATTGTAGGCATTTCCAAAATAAAATCTGGGATGCGTTTGCATTCATGCAGCCTTACATTTATACTTCTTCAAAACCTTGACAATACTGATCTATATTAAAGCTAATAAAACAATTTCAATCTGCTGTCAGTGAAGCATTTACACTTCTCTATTTTCACAAGTTCTACTCGAGTGAAAAAATCAGTTATAGCAAGAGTTCTTTAATAATTAAAGTCACAACGCTGCCACCCATAAGTGGATTAGTATCTTTCTCTATTAATTGATATCTCTACTTACCAGGAAAGAAACTAATCTACTGCTGGGAATCTGGCCTTTTCTAAGGTGTGTAATGCCTGTACATGCATTCACATTGCTTTTTTATCTACATATATCTTGATTCAATTATTACTTCTAACTGGTACAAACACATTTGCTGCATTGGCAACAAAAGACTTTTTTTTCCCTCTCTTTTCTTTTCAAAGGAGCTCATTAAACTGAAAGTAGTTAAGCTTAAAGTTTCCACGGAGTGCATTGGAGACGTCATTCAGAGATAAAAGATATTGAAATAACCTCTCTAGCAACCATTGTTCTAGTTTTCTGTTCACAGCTTCTTGGAATTATGAATTTTGTTGCATAACATTGATTTTTTTTATATGGGAATTTCTGTTCCACACCAAGCAATATGCAAAACATCCTCTCCTCAGGCCTGGGACACAACTCCAAAGATAGGTACTGGTAGCAAACAGCTTGTTCTGCAGTACTCTGCTACCAAAGGCAGTTACTTAAGGCAGACAACAGTAGAATTCATCCTATTTTTAGGCTTTGCACACAGAGAGGAAGAGTATATAGCAGCACAAGACTCAACAAAATCTCTTTCATCTGTTTCTAGTGGGAATGGCAGCTGGGGATGTTCCCTTTCACTTTTTCATGTTGGAACAGATACACCAGAAGGAACTCCAAGGCATTTTTTTTTTGAGGTTTCCTTTTCCTGTGATTTCCTTACACAGGGACCGCCCGTGGAAGAGTGATCTAGCACATACCACATGCAGGCTGTAGCTAAGACTTCTTAGTATCCCTAAATACCACATTCCAGGTTATTTTCAAATGAACCAAGGCTTCACAGGCAAAAAGAAAGTAATTCAAAGAGGTTCAAGGCTTCCTTCTGACAGGGCTTTCCTTTGCGGCCTGTCCAGGAGGGGCAGATGAGAGAAACAAGATGGCATAACAGATTTGGCTCAGGGTATTAGCAAACTGTTCCCAGCTTTGTCACTTGCCTCCTGAGTGACTTCACTTTATTTTACAAAGTGAAGAGCAGAGCAAGGAGAGGGCACAGTGCCGAGCCCCTCCGTGAAACTGTGAGACCCACTGAAGACAAGCTGTATGCAAGGACAAAGGATTATTCCTATAGCGAGCAAACACCCCCTCCTTAACTCAGCCTTAGAATCCCCCTTTGCCTTTTAACCCAAAATAATTTTTATTTGTAGTGGTTTCAGACTGATGTAAGAAGCTACTGTGCAAAGGCCATCCCATGCAACACTGATGAGAGGCAGCAAGGTCACTCAGGCTGGCTACCTTCCATGGCCATAGTGCAGGCCAGGTCAATGGTGGTACACCAGGGCTAGATGAGTGGTCGGTGAGGTGGACTGAGAACTGGCTGAATGGCAGAGCTCAGAGGGTTGTCACCAGGGGCGCCGAGTCTAGTTGGAGGCCTGTAACTAGTGGAGTTCTCCATGGGTCAGTACGCGCCCCATTCCTGTCCAACTTATTCACCGGTGACCTGGACGAAGGGACAGAGTGTACCCTCAGCAAGTTTGCT